TTCTTGACTGGAGGCCAAATGCAATAAAAAAGGAAACTCATAAGATTTAAGAGTTGAATGATTAACTAGAGGTCGAGGGACCATTCAAGTAGAATCAGGGAGCATTATTTTATTTTTTTAAGTTAAGGTTAATAACAGGACAGCAGATGGTGTCCTGACATTACCTTGTTATAGACAACATGAAACAGATGAAACAAATATATATATCCAATATATAGTCAGATTGTGACTATGGGAAACAACAGTCAGCTTTTTTAACTTCCTGTCTGGTCTTTGTGCAATAAGTTGTCAATGAACATTTATTGCAAACTTCCTCTTTACACCAACACCAATGTGATCAGAGTATGTAAAGGTACATGTACAGTAATGCAGTTCTCCTTGTGAGTGTTGAATAAGGCCACCTATAGAGAAGAGAAACTTCTCGTTTCTTATGCGCCAACAGAAAATCATTTTAAATGTACTTTGCATCTTTTAAATATGCGCTAAGTTCCGTTCAGGCTACACATAGGTATAAAAAGAACTGACAGTCTGAAAACACTGGGATACTTTTCAAAAACATTTATCATCAGGTAACTCCTCTACCATAGGGATGACTGATGTAACCTAAAATATCCATGACTGGCCGGGGGAAGTCTTTTGGTAAAATTTCTGGAACAGTAATATACTGGCAGAACATTTTGTTATGGTCTAATGATGTCAACATATTGCAACATAGAAATGAACTACTGCTTAAATTACTCCACAAAACATTTCTCCTCTGAGAAGCTACATTTACTGTAGTAAAAAGACTTGGAGGAGGCTTGAACCCAGACACATAAAATGCCGTGGAAAATTGACTGCACTGAGTCACTGCTGTTATTGGATGTTTATGCGTGAAGACTTTGTTTGACAAGAAACAGAGCATCAGCTTATTTTATGGCTGGCTGACTTTGAAAAGCCAGTGCAGTTTATTCTGTCATTACAGCTCTCTTTTCATCCCAGCAATTTTTCAACTCATTTCTAACATCTTATTTGTTCTTCAATGTGAACATGGAGTCACAGTAGAGATGACCTTCTAGGCAAACGAGGAGAGGTGGAACAGATTTTGGCTGTTCTAATGTCTGTAATAATGAGCTAATATGTATTGTAAGAATATAACTATTTACTGTACAATCAATTGATTTACATTTCCGACAAGGAAGAAGAAACTCCTGATCCTGTGATTCACCATTTTTTTTTCTTCCTCTGGAGGAGTTTCTGTGTAAGCAAGAACCCCACAGAGTCCTTATGAAGTAGTCAGACATCACCAACAGCAGCCAGAGTGAACAAAAAGTTACAGGCAGCCGAGAAGAGTCTGCCATACCAACAACTGTGAACTGCCTCCACAACAGCAATTAACATTTTCCTGCTATAAAAAAGAACACCCTGCAGTTCCTGCTGGAAAACAAGACAGTCAAGCACACACAAATGCATGTGCACACATACATCAAGAAGAAGATTTCCTAATCCTGAAGGAGAAAAGGCTAAATGTATTTATCTTGACATTTATTGTGATTAAAATAGAAAGGCCATTCACTTTTGTTGCAATTTGCAACTAATGGCTCTATGTTTTGTTACTGCCATAGTTGGGCTGTAGTGGGGCTAAAGTTGTCCACTTGATAACTGCACTCGTCGCAACTGTACTTGATCTGCGTTATTAAGATCATTACTTGGAACCAGGAATAAAGCAGTCTGCACAAGAAATGATCCAGTCTGCCATAGACACGGAGAACCCGCTTGGAGACAGAGAAGCGCACAGCACAGGAGAAGAACAGCAGAGCGCAGCAAAAACGACTTGTTTTTCTGTGCCAGATGAAGGCATGCACCCGCATTGTCTGATATGTTCTGTGAGGTCCTGCAAAAGAGTGCCTTAAATAATAATAATAGAAAGGCTGTTTTGTTCTGACCTGCTAAGTGATTCACCATTATCACATCACATATCACTGACATAATATTATTAGTTACTGATACTATGATTAATTCTGAAAGTAGAATTCCTAATTTAGGGAATCATCTGGCCCAAGAGGATAGTTCAAGGCTGAAGGAATAAGAAGGGGCTGATATGATAAAACTGGGCAAATGTGATGACAGTTGATGTTTTAGTGTTT